GATAAAGGCACGGGGAATGGTGAGCACTGCAGGTAATTGTGTTGAAATATGGAAAAGAGGTTGACATGTGACCCGCCCCTGAAGGGAAAATTTCAATAAGAACATCCAAAACGCCTTTAGTAGGGCCCCTACCCTTGGGCAGTTGTGCGAACAAAATGCCAAAAGACCGCGTGAAGGGGTGAGGACAGTCAGCTGATTTCTTGCAACCCTATGACACCACAAGATACTGCGGAACATCCATTTTATGCTAGTTGTCCGGCAGTACCGCATTTGGCTGGAAGGCGGATTGTAAAGGCGGAGTCTGGAGGCGGAGTCACTGGAAAAAGGAGGTGTCACTGAGGCAACTTTGCGCCATAACTCCTTTACCTTACAGCTTTTCGCTGCGGAACTGGCACAAGGTTCTCTGTTGCTGGCCATACTACCCTTCTCACAGAACCTTTTGCGGAACATTCCTTCGAACTTCTAATGGCTATTCTCTGAAGTACATGCAATCCTGTTCGCTGCGGGTGCTGGGGCGTATTAAGGTGACGCGGCGCCAAAGAGCTTTTCACCAACTGTGAAGGTCCGCAGCGTCCACAATTGGTGGAAAATTGGCTATAGCCGGAGCTAACCCAGTCCCCCGACACGACCCAACATCCGCAGCGAAGGATGCTCCATGACTACAAGACCTCCTACACTACTGCACTCACCCTTTCCTTTTGGATTTCATGTTGCCGTTGCATTTGATCATTTTGATTAATCATCTTTTCTAATTTCGCCTCCAATTCTTCTTGTGTTCGTAAGTATAATTTCTCGCTCTTTTCCAGATCTCTTATGTGCGCCTTTTTCCTTGTAATTCTATAGGGATCGAGATTAATTAAACGGACCAGCAAATTCCAATCTACCATGCTACTCACTCTTCTATTAAACCGTCTATCTTCTTCTTTGTTTCTGATAGTTCTAATTCTACACGTACGAATTGATCCTCTGTTTCGTTTAGTTGGGCTTGAAGGCGCTTCAGTTCGCGTTCATATTGTAATTCTCTGAAGAGACTGAATACAAGGGAATGTAGGTGAGAAGTCAGTCTTCCTCTTGTCTCAACAGACTTGACTCACGGCAACACTCGAACCCCACACGTGGCGCTTTCCGGACGAGTGCGCTATCATTTACGCCACCAACGCCGCCTCTTATACTCTTAGCTTGAAGGCAGTTGGTACGATATTTTGGTACTCGGCCTTAAATGCTAGTAGGGCGCTGTATAGTGAGAAAATGGCGAAAAAACGAAGTGAAACGGTCAAAAACCTGCGAAGAAAAGCCTTCGTTCTTAATGACTCAAAAAGCAATTTTGGACGAGTTTCCTTAGGCACCTTGCCAATGGCCGCTACAGTAGGTACGGCGGCACGTACTCATATATCCATGCGGTATGCATGTACTCATATATCCCTGCAGCATCGCAGCCGCTTCATACCAATCCCTTCGCTTCATATTTTACTTCAGCAAATGAAGCAATACGAGCATCAGGTACGGTCGTCCATTTGTGGGGGGCGGGCGGGCGCGGTGGGCGTCCGGGTCGGTATGTTGCAGCTTGATAGGGCCTTATAAGGGTAGCTTCTTTGGAGAAGGCACTACGCAGCGCCTGCTCATGGTCGCGGAATTCGACCTGCCAGGCATATTAGTCGTACTCGTCTCAGGGGTTTAACGTGCCGACTGCCTCTACGAGCTTTTGTGCCATAGCTACAGCACCAACACGTTACGATGACCATTAAAACAACGGCGTCCATCCTACTTCTGCTTTTCGCTCGACACGGGCATATTTCACGAGATCCGGGTGTCACAGTCATCATCGCGCGCCCAGCATAGTGCTTCCTAGCTGGTTGG